TCCTGACGTGAAAGGCGCTCTATAAATGGAATCTTGTTGTTGTTAGTCGCTCCTTATAGTCCAGTCCCTCCATTCTCTCATTTTGGTTGCCCTCCTCTGTATCTTCTCGATTCTGTTTCTCTGTATCGTCTCGATTCCTCCCGATCTGGCCTCCTCCTCGTCCTCCTCGTCCTCCGCTCCACCCTCGGCAGTCGTGCCTTCAGCCACTATGCCCCGAGGCTCTGGAACTCCCTTTCTCACTCCCTCTCTTCCTACTTTCAGATCTCTGCTGAAGACCTTTCTCTTCGACCGTGCCTTTGGTCACCTTCCTCCCCCTCCTCCTGACTCGGCCCCAGGATCCGTTACTGTAAAGCGCTCTGAAACTCTGGAGGGCGCTAAATAAATCCAAGTTGTTGTTGTTGTTCTCCAATATCTTTTTTGTACTGCGGCGACCAGAACTGTACACTGTCTCTAAGTGCGGTCTCATCAATGATTTATACAGTGGCAGGACCCACTATTTCGGCTGCTATTGATCTTTTAATGCATTCCAACATCTGGTTTGCTTTACTCACTGACTCAGAGCATTGTTAGGAGAGTTTCAATTTATTGAAGTTATTCAAGTTATTTATCAGGAGTTCAGGTCCTTTTCATTTTCGATACATATTACTTTCTTTCCGTTCAAATAATAGTCCCTTCCAGGATTTTTTGTCCTTATGTGAAGTACTTCACATTTCTCCACATTGAATTTCATCTGCCACCGATCTGCCCAATTCCCAAGTATGCTCAAATCCTCCTGTAACCTATCTTTTTCAAATTCGCAATCTACCACTTTCGATTAAGTTGGTGTCATCTGCAAACTTAGCCACTGTGCTTGCAATTCCTAGTTCCAGATCATTTATAAAAATATCAAACAAAAGAGGTCCCAAAACACTGGGACATTGTGGAACTCCACTGGTGACATTTTCCCAGTCTGATGACATTCCTTGTACTACCACCCTCTGGGTTCTTCCAGTCAACCAATTTCATATCCATTGTAATATACCTCTGCTTTCTTTACTTTCAGTACCAGTCTCTCAAGAGGAACTGTATCAATGGTCTTACTGAAATTCAGATATAAAACATCCACAGCCTTACCCTTATCAAGCTTCCTTGTCACACCGTCAAAGAAACGAGTAAATTAGATTGGTAAGACCTTCCCTTCATGAACCCATATTGGCTATCATTTATGATTTTATTTCTGTCCAGATGCTCCATGATTTTATCTTTAATAAAAGTCTCCATAATTTTAACTGCAATGGACGTGAAATGTACTGGTCTGTAGTTTCCTGAATCACTTTTGTTACCTTTCTTAAAAATAGGAACAACAGCTGCCTTTCTCCAGTCCCCCGGCACCTCTCCAGTATTCAGTAATTTTTGAAAGATTTGTGCCAGCGTTTCTGCGACTTCCTCCCTTAGCTCCTTAAGGATCCTCGGATGGAATTTATCCGGCCCCTGAGATTTATTTACCTTAAGTTTACGCAGCTGTTTGGCAATCATGCTGGTAGTGATCTGAATAGTGTTGCAAATTTTCTCTGCGACATCCTTGAGTTCTCTTTCCACGTCAGATAGGTTACTCATCTCCTCCTTGGTAAAAACTGATGCAAAAAACTTATTTAGCACTATTGTAGCCTGTGCAGCATTATTTGTCATGTTCTCTCCCAAACCCACCTTCAGTGGCCTTATTCCATTGCTTGTTTTTCTTTTACTCTTAATGTAACTAAAAAATGTTTTGTTATTATCCTTCACATTTCTTGCCATGTTCAATTCAAAGCTTCCTTTGCCATTCTGATGCCTTTTTTGCAGTCCTGGCATGCCTTCTGTTATTAAGTAAAATAGGGGAGGAGGCAGTTTGACCCATCAAGCAGAAATGGCAATAACTGGAGAAACTCAACTGGGTGTGTCAGGCCTCAACAGCCTATCCCATCCCAGCCCTGCCCCAGCCCACACCTGCACAGCCCAGGCTGTCCACCCCTGTCCACCCCAGCCCTGCCCATCCCTGCCTAGTCCTGCCCTGTGCAGCCCTGCCAGGGGGGAGCTTATTCCACCCCAATTGGGGCTTTTTCCCTCCCAATTGGAACATTCCCAGTTTCCCAAATGGACTGACAGAAATTCCTCAGTAAGAACTCACATTTTCACAGTGCTTCATCACATTGAAATGTCTCAAAGTGTTTCAGAGTCAATCCTGTGAAATGCAGTGACTTTTCCTGGTTGAACATGGTAGCCAGTTTGCACACAGCAACAGCCAAGGAGTGAGAGACCAAGTTGATTTGGGGGATTGTTGGCCAGGATACTGGGAGAAAGAAACTCTCTTCTCTTCTTGAATAGTGCCATGGGATCTTTAACGTCCACCTGAACAGGCAGATTAGACCTTAATTTAAAGCCTTAATTTGAAATATGGAACCTTCCAACAATTCAACACTCCCTCCAGCTGCATGGACCCAAATTTCAGGAGTGAAGAATACACAATGAGGGAAATATAAAACTTCCCAAAACCCCAAGCAGCTGGTGTTGAAATACACTGCGTCCTCATCACCCTGTGGCAGAATGTTGCCAAATGTTCACTCCACGTCTACAGTTTTGCTCTGCCCACAGGCAGGGTACAGCACAGTGACAAACTGTGAGACACTCCAACAAGAAGCAAAGGCACCTCACCCAGCCAGGCACCCCTACACAGCCAGGCACCTCACCCAGCCAGGCACCTCACCCAACCAGGCACCTCACCCAACCAGGCACCTCACCCAACCAGGCACCTCACCCAACCAGGCACCTCACCCAGCCAGGTACCTCACCCAGCCAGGCACCTCACCCAACCAGGCACCTCACCCAGCCAGGCACCTCACCCAACCAGGCACCTCACCCAACCAGGCACCTCACCCAGCCAGGCACCTCACCCACCAGGCACCTCACCCAGCCAGGCACCTCACCCAACCAGGCACCTCACCCAGCCAGGCACCTCACCCAGCCAGGCACCTCACCCAACCAGGCACCTCACACAGCCACGCACCCCTACACAGCCAGGCACCTCACCCAACCAGGCACCTCACCCAGCCAGGCACCTCACCCAACCAGGCACCTCACCCAGCCAGGCACCTCACCCAGCCAGGCACCCCTACACAGCCAGGCACCTCACCCAACCAGGCACCTCACCCAACCAGGCACCTCACCCAGCCAGGCACCTCACCCAACCAGGCACCTCACCCAGCCAGGCACCTCACCCAGCCAGGCACCCCTACACCAGCCAGGCACCTCACCCAACCAGGCACCTCACCCAACCAGGCACCTCACCCAGCCAGGCACCTCACCCAGCCAGGCACCTCACCCAGCCAGGCACCTCACCCAACCAGGCACCTCACCCAGCCAGGCACCTCACCCAGCCAGGCACCCCTACACAGCCAGGCACCTCACCCAACCAGGCACCTCACCCAGCCAGGCACCTCACCCAACCAGGCACCTCACCCAGCCAGACACCCCTACACAGCCAGGCACCTCACCCAGCCAGGCACCTCACCCAGCCACGCACCCCTACACAGCCAGGCACCTCACCCAGCCAGGCACCTCACCCAACCAGGCACCTCACCCAGCCAGGCACCTCACCCAGCCAGGCACCTCACCCAGCCAGGCACCTCACCCAGCCAGGCACCTCACCCAGCCAGGCACCTCACCCAGCCAGGCACCTCACCCAGCCAGGCACCTCACCCAGCCTGGCACCTCACCCAGCCAGGCACCTCACCCAGCCAGGCACCTCACCCAGCCAGGCACCTCACCCAGCCAGGCACCTCACCCAGCCAGGCACCCCTACAGAGCCAGGCACCTCACCCAGCCAGGCACCTCACCCAACCAGGCACCTCACCCAGCCAGACACCCCTACACAGCCAGGCACCTCACCCAGCCAGGCACCTCACCCAGCCAGGCACCGCTACACAGCCAGGCATGTGACACAGTACTGCTCGGAGGCTTTAGAGAACTCGAAGTTCGCTGTAACTGAGCGATTAAACATGAGGATGTCCTGTCGTGTACTGTTATATACAGTATCAGCCTGGGTCAATCACTCTCTCCTCTGGATCAGAAGGTTGTAGGTTCCAGCCCCGTGTTGGGGACTTTGACTTTGTTGTTGTTGTTGTTAACACTCCAGAGCAAGGCTGTGGGAGCACGGCATGGTCGAGGCTCCGTCCATCGGACAAGACATTAAACTGAGAATTTAAAGATCCTGTGACTATTGGAACAAAGAAGGGAGTTTCTCCCAGTTTCCCTGCCAACAACCCTCCAGATAGATCACATTCACTTCATAGCTTATTTGCACACAGTAATCACTGCCCACAAGATTTCCTATGATGGAACCAGTTACCTTTGGGGTATTTCAGTCTACCCTCCTCACACAACAGCCCCAAGAGCTTAGAGCCCAACTAGCCAATCTCCAACCTCTTATTCCATTTTTTCACTCTGCTATTTGGGTTAATTACTGTCTTTTTGAGTGCTGATAAATCATTATTATTAAGATATAAATCAACTTTAAATGCACGAAGCACAGATTCCATCTCTGAGACACATTCAGATTGTTCTTGTTTTCAATAAGATGATGGACGTTAGGGCTGGCACCACACTACCTGTACCTCAGGGGTTAGAGCACTCGCCTCGCAAGCGAGAGGCCTGGGATCGATTCCCGGCAGAGCGAAACCTTGGGCAAGTTTCCTTATTCCACACGCCTGATAATAATCCCTCAAAAGAAAAACAATAATAATTTGGTCATTCAATCTACGACTGTTTGTGGGACACTGCTGTGCGCAACTGATTGCCGCATTTTACCCACAAATATACAGTCTAAATATACAGGTTAGTGATATCACAGGCTAGAGATACAATAAAGCTCCTTCGACAATGTCCATTCAGCACCAATTCCCGCCAGTCTCTACCAGCACAAGCCATTTCTCACCAGTCCTAGCTCCTCCACCAGTCTCTGCCAGGCTTCCCGCCATGCAGCTTACCTTTTTGGTGTAGTCCATGGCGCTGAGGATAGAGAGGTTCAGGGTCTCCAGGGAGGCGAGGACATCTTCATATGATCCCATGTGAGCGGCAAAGTAATCTGCAAACAGTTACTGTGTGTTAGTCCAAGTTTTAAGAGGGAAATAAATTTCTGAAAAGGAGAAATATTAAAAGTGTATTTGTGTGGGGGAGGAGAGAATGGGGCGAGTCAGACAGCTTTTTTAGACAGTGGCACAGGCATGATGGGCTGAATGACCTCCTTATCTGCTTACATTTCTGTGATTCTGGATAATGCCAGACTTTCAGCATTTGCAATAATAATAATCCTTGCATTTGATATATCGCTTTTCACATCTTCGAGGCGTCTCAAAGCGCTTCACAGAATATACTGTAAAGTGAATTGACTGTATATTTTGTGGGCGAAACATGCCGTGGCTTGAGGTGACCAATTTATTATTGTTTTTTTCTTGAGGGATTATTATAAGGCATGTGGAGTAAGGAAACGTCCCAAGGTTTTGCCCTGCCGGGAATCAAACAATCAATCATTTGGACCTTGTTAATTATGGAGCTGGGCATTGCAGTGAGGAGTGCATTGGAATGTTACCAGTAGATGTCAGTAGTGACCTACGCAGATGCACTATCTGTCTCTATTCAGCCCTGCAGCAAATGGCCGGGCGTGGGTTAATACTCCCATCTCCACAGAGAGTGTGAGCTCAGTGTCCACTCAGCCACTCACTCACCCCACTTTTCCAATGGATTTTACCGTTTCATCCAAAACTGTCACAGGAGACACAGGAACAGCCTGCACTTCTAAAGAGCTTTCACATAGGAAGATGTCTCAAAACGCTTCACAGAGACAGTGGGAGCTGGAATCCGAGGAGGGAAGGAAAATGGGGGAATAGGGCTGTACTTTGAAGAGTTTTGAGAACAGGAGAGAAATAAACAAAATGGCAGTCAATCAGAATTCTACATATTGTTATTTTAATAAGCGTCCTGATAGCAAGAATTCCAAGTAAATGTTACATGCACTTACCAATTTCAAAGGCAAACTCACCAGATAACAAACTGAATTAGTCAGCTAAATCAATCAGGAATTCTAAAGTCTGACATCAGACACATCAGTTTGGGGGTTTCTAGGTTAGTTTGGGAGTAGATTAATTTGCTATTTTTGGTGACAACAGAGAGATATAGCTGCAGATAATTAACCAAACAGATGGTTCATCATGGTAAGCATTTAGCATTCTGTGCTGGAAGCACAAGTGATGTGGCCAGCCCTGTCTCTGCTCCCCACTCCTGGCTCTTTATGGCGCTCTCTCAAACTCATGTCCCTCAGTAATAATAATATTCCTTTCATTTTGATATAGTGCCTTATTACATCTTTCAGATATATGAAAGCGCTTCACAGAATATACTGTGAAGTGAAGTGACTGTGTATATTGTGGCCGAAATGCCTCAATGTATTTGTTTCAGCTGCTTGTCCATTTCCCTTCTGAATAAAAGGCAGATGCTGGAAATCTGAAATAAAAACAGAAGTCGCTGGGAACACTCAGCAGGTCAGGCAGCATCTATCTATCAACCGACCTGCAACATTAACTCATTTTCCTTTCTCCATAGATACTGCCTCACCTGCTGAGGGTTCCTAGTGACTTCTGTTTTCATTCCCTTCTGAATGATTCTATTGAGTTCTATTGCGCTAGGCTCAGTAAGTGACAGCGTGATTCAGTCAACAACACTCTCATCTCGGGGTTAGAGCATGTGGGTTTGAGCTGACACTCTAGCACAGTGCCGGAGGAAAGCTGCATTGTCAGAGGTGATGTGCTTCGGATGAGATGTGAAACTGAGCTCTCATCTATTTATTCCGATGTTAAAGATCCAGAGAGACAGAGAGGGAGAGGGAGATGGCAGAGAGGGAATTTCTCTTGGTGTCCTGACCAACAATCTCTGAGATAAAAATTGATCATTCGCTTCATGGCTGTTTGTGGGACATTGTGTGCAAATTGGCTGCTGTGTTTGCCAACAGTCACTACATATGACTACATGCTGTTTGGTTGTGCAGTGTTTTCGGGCATGTTATGAGCCCTGGATCAAATATAAGGATATAAGGATCAAATGTAAGGGAAGGTTCACAGCGATGAGAAAAGGAGACAGTTTGGAGTGTGTACACGCACAGTTATTGCTGCCTGCAGTATTGCCAGACCATATTCCAAGGCTCTAATCGTATAAAATGTGCTGATATCATCAAGCTGCGTGGCCCAGTGCCCAATGTACAGGAGATTGATGGACCACAAGGGATCTGCACCAACTCACTATCTGAGAACGATGGGAAATTGCACAGTTAATGTAATTGGCACAGGAAATATATGGGTCTTTCCCACAAAAGCAGTCAATTACTATTAAAGCTGTGAGAGTGCCTGATAATAACCTTTCCATTTGATGTAGCACCTATAATGTTTATAGGGGGAATGTAAGTGCAGTGACTGTATGTTTTTAGGCAAACTCAGCAGCCTATTTGCACACAGCAATGTCCCACAAGCAGCCATGAAAGTGAGTGACCGATTTTATCTGGGGGTTTGTTGGCCAGGACACCGGGAGGAACTCCCTTCCCTTTTCAAATAGGTGCTGTGGGATCTTTAACGTCCACCTGAACAAGCAGAAGGGACCTTAACATCTCATCTGAAGGACAACAACAACAACATATTTACATTTATATACATTTCATAGCAAGAAGACTTTCCAAGGCGCTGGACAATTGAGGTAAGGGACTGGACAAGGCGAAGGGATTCTGGATGGAGTTCCAGAGAGGTTACACACCTCACTGACTCCCTGTTTTTCAGTGGGTCCACTTTGAGATCATCGGCTCAATTTCCAAACCCTTCTGCTTGCTCCACTCTCCCTATGTAATCCCCTACGTCCCAGTCTGTTCTGCCCACTGTTCTTACTCTGGGTTCAAGTTTGTTCCCAATTCACTTGACTCCATCAATTGAGGCTGACACCTTTTGGAACCCTTCCTCATCTCCCCTGCTCCCACTTATAAGAAGGTTTTAAGGATCCATCCGTTAAGTCGCCTCTAATCTCCAAATCTTGTTTGGGATCACACTCCCATTAGCAAATGCTTTCAATCGTATCCGCCTCCCTGGTTGCTCCCTCCATCTGTGCAGAATCTCAGTGTTTTGTTCCACCCTCATCTCTCCATTAAACCTTCCACTCTGATCAAGTCCGTTTTTGTCATCTCCACCACATCGCTCAGACTCTCCCTCACCCCTTCCCTCTCTGCTTTCAAATCCCTCCTGATGAACCCCCACTTTTGGCCACCTCCATCTCCTTTCCCCATGTCCCTGCAGCTCGGCCTCCACTCAGTCTCTCTGGTGATATATAAGAGCAGATTGCTGCTGTTTATACACAAGTGTTGCTGTGGAAAAGCAAATTGTTTTCCAGATAGAGCGTGTTATTGCAACAGACAGAAAGAAGACAAAATACAAGTCCCCACTCTGCCACCCTCAATCTGCCCCCCCACTCCACCCTATTCTGCAGACACACACTGTGACACACACTAAGACGCATACTGGCACACCCTGACACACACTGTGACACACACTGAGACACATACTAACAAACCCTGACACACACTGTGACACACACTGACAAACACCCTGACACACACTGTCACACACACTGACACACATTCTGCATTAGAGACAGACTCACCGCACAGCTCCTTAGTGTCCACATTACTGTGAGAGAAAGAGAGAAATCATGGTTACTCTGAGATGGTAAAAACAGCCTCAGTCACCACCCCCACTCTGAACCCCACTCTGCCCTCCACACCCTGCCCTCCCGTCTCTAACACCCCCACTGGAGGGGGGAGGTGACCATAAGCACGGTCGAAGAGGAAGGTCTTCAGGCGCAACCTGAAGATAGGGAAGGAGGTGGCAAGGCGGAGGGTTTGGGAAAGAGTTTTCCTAGTTTCGGGGCGTAGTGGCTGAAAATGCGGTCACCAATGGTAGAACGGAGGGCATGAGGGACAAGCAGGAGGCCAGAGCCAGGTGAGGAGGAAGGATCAGAATTGGAAGGAACTAACTTTGCTTTCACACTCAATGTTAACAGTGAGTGAGGAAATGGGGAGGAATTATTTCCACTGGTTGGTGGGTTAGTCACTAGAGGGCACAAGTTTAAGGTAATCACAAAAAAAGCAGAGGTAGAGTTTAGATTGTTTGCACAAAGACTTGTTAGGATGTGGAATGTCTAACCTGGACTGTGGTTGAAGTGGAACATGTGTTTAAGAGGAATTAGAGAAATAATAATAATAATTCCTTCCCACCAAATAATGGGAAAGAAATGGAAGAGCAAATCTGCAAGCAAATTTCAGAAAGATGTAAAACCAATAGAGTAATGATAATGGGGGCCTCAAATTATCCTAACATAGAATGGCAAATCAACAGTACGAAGGACAAAGAGGGGGAAGCATTCCTGAAATGTGTGCAGGATAACTTTCTGGATTAGTATGTATCCAGCCCAACGAGGAAGGGAGCAGTGCTGGTTCTAGTTCTGGGAAATGGGTTGGCAGGGGGCGGGCAGTGGTGTTCCACAAAGATCGGAATTGGGACCACTGTTATTCACAATATACATTAATGATTTGGACTCGGGAATCAGCAGTACAATTTCAAAATTTGCAGACGACACCAAATTTTGTTAATAATAATAATCCTTGCATTTGATATAGCGCTTTTCACGTCGGGAGGACGTCCCAAAGCGCTTCACAGAACACACTGTAAAGTAAATTGACTGTATATTTGTGGGCGAACGTGGCAGCCAATTGCGCACAGCAATGTCCCACAAACAGTCATAGATTGAAAATGACCAATTTATTATTGTTTTGTTTTTTTGGAGGATTATTATTAGGCGTGTGGAGTAAGGAGACTTTCCCGAGGTTTCCCTCTGCCTGGAATTGAACTCAGGTCTCTCAATTGCAAAGCGAGTGCTCTAACAACTGAGCTACAGGACTCCACGAGGAGAATTGCAACAAATTACAGCATTAATAAACTGCAAATGCATTTCAATATAGAAAAGTGTGAGGTGGTACATTTTGGTAGAAGGAATAAGGAGGTCACATACATCCTGGAAAATAAAAACGTAATGGGGTAGAGTAGCAAAGGGATCTAGGGGCACACATACACAATTCACTAAAAGTAGAAACGCAGGTTAATAAGGCCATAAAAAAGGCAAACCAGGCATTGGGGTTCATTTCGAGAGGGATAGAAATGAAAAGCAGGGAAGTTATGGTAAACTTCTATAGAACTTGGTTAGACCACACTATGTGCAGTTCCGGTTCCCATATTATAGAAGGGATATAGAGGCACTGGAGAAGGGGCAAAGGAGATTCACAAGGATGATCCCAGAACTGAGAGGTTAGACCTATCAAGAAAGGCTGAACATACTTGGACTCTTTTCTGTTGAAAAGAGGAGGGTAAGGAGTGACCTGATAGAGGTCTTTAAAATGATGAAAGGTTTTGATAGGGTCGACAAAGGGAAAATGTTTCCACTTGTGGGGGAGACCAAAACCAGGGCCATCAATATAAAATAGTCACAAACAGATCAAATAGGGAAGTTAGAAGAAATTTCTTCACACAGAGAGTAGTGGGAATAAGAACATAAGAACATAAGAATTAGGAGCAGGAGTCGGCCATTCGGCCCCTCGAGCCTGCCCCGCCATTTGATAAGATCATGGCTGATCTTCTGACCCAACTCTAATTACCTGTCCTATCCCCATATCCCCTAATCCCTCTATTTTTAAAAAATCTGTCAGTCTCAACCTTGAATGTGGAACATGCTACCACAAGGAATTGTTCAGGCAAATAGCATAGATTTTTAAAAAACAGAGGGATTAGGGGATACGGGGATAGGGCAGGTAATTAGAGTTAGGTCTGAAGATCAGCCATGATCTTATCGAATGGCGGGGCACAGGCTCGAGGGGCCGAATGGCCGACTCCTGCTCCTAATTCTTATGTTCTTATGTTCTTAGATGTATTTAAGGGAAAGCTGGAGAGGTACATGAGGGAGAAAGGAATAGAAGGTTATGCTTGAAGGCTTAGTTGAGGAAGGGCAGAAGAAATTCATGTGAAGCATAAACTCCGGCACAGACCAGTTTCTGTGCTGTATATTCTAATATATTCTAATGTATTCTAATATAAATGAAGTAGAGCAAGTGGAGTAGGTTTCAGTAGGAGAACATCTGGATAACAGTGATCACTATATCATAAGATTTAGAGTACAACAACAACAATAAGATTACATGTGTATAGCGCCTTTCACGTTGGGAGGACATCCCAAGGCGCTGGACAGTGTTCAGCATTTCAGACCCGAGCTGCGGTCAGGGGGGGAGAAGGGGGAGAAGGGGAAGGGGGAGGCCAATGGCATGGTCGAAGAGGATGGTTTTGAGGCAGCAATTGAAGGAGGCTAAGGAGGGGGCGAGGCGGAGTGACTGGGGAATGGAGTTCCAGAGATTGGGGGCAGAGTGGCTGAAGGCTCTCCCGCCAATGGTGGGGCGGGTGGGTCGGGTAATGTGGAGCAGCCAGAGCCGGCTGAGCGGAGGGAGTGGGCGGGTTGGTAGGGGGTTAGGAGGTCACAGAGGTAGGGTGGGGCGAGGCCATGGAGGGCTTTGTAGGTGAGGACCAGGATCTTGAACTGGATCCTCTGAAGGATAGGGAGCCAATGGAGTCGGGCGAGAATGGGGGAGATGGGGTCATGGAGTTTGGTGCGGGAGAGGACACGGGCTGCAGAGTTCTGGAGTTGGGAAGGCCGACAAGCAGTGAGTTTGCATAGTCGAGCCTGGAGGTGATGAAGGCATGAACAAGAGTTTCAGCGTCTGAGGGGTGAGGTAGTGGTGGAGTCAGGCGATGTTACGGAGGTGAGGGAAGGCAGAGCGGGTCATGGCTTGGATGTGGGGGAGAAAAGACAGTTGAGGGTCGAACAGGACACCCAGGTTCCTGACTGGCTGGTGAGTTGAAGTGTGCAACCATGGAGGTTGATGCTGCCAGAGCCTGAGGTACATAGTACTTCTGGAAAGGGTCAAGGAACCATCAAAGGTGAAAATACTCAACTGGAAGAGGCTAATTTCAGTGAGTTGAAAAGGGATCAGCCAAGGTGGACCAAAAAGAAAGATTTGGTAGTTAGAATGATAAACAATGGGAAGCCTTCAAGGAGGAGATAGTTCGGGGACAGAACAAATACATTCCCACAAAGGGGAAAGGTAGGGCATCCAAACCTCCCTGGATGAATAAAGAAATTGGGATTAAAATAAAACAGAAAAAGGAGGTTTATGATAAATGTCAGGTCCAAAATACAGAAGATAATGAAACAGAATATAGAAAGTGCAGAGGAGAACTGAAAAAGGAAATAAGAGGGAAAAAGAAATTGTATGAGAAAAGATTAGCGGGTAACATAAAAGGGAACCCTAAGGTATTTTATAAGCATATAAAGAATAAAAGATTAGTCAAAGGTCGGGTGGGTCCAATTAGGGACCAAAGAGGAAATCTTCTTGTGGAGGCAGAGGGCACGGCTGACGTACTGAATGAGGACTTTGCATCTGTCTTCACAAAAGAAGAAGATGCAGTCAATGCCACAGTATCGGAGGAGAGGGGAGAGAAATTAGATAAAATGAGAATAAACCGAGAGGAGATACTAAAAAGATACTAAAAAAAACCACAATCTTTCAATCCTTCTTTGACATTGCAGTGGTGCCAGAGGACTGGAGGGTTGAAAACGTTACTCCCCTGTACAAAAAGGGGCAGAAGGATGAACCCGGGAACTACAGGCCAGTCAGCCTAACGTCAGTATTGGGGAACCTTCTAGAGATGATAATCCGGGACAAAATAAATTTTCGCTTAGAAAAATATGGGTTAATAAAGGACAACCAACACAGATTTGTTAAAGGCAAACCATGTCTAACAAACCTGATTGAGTTTCTTGATGAAGTAACGGAGAGGGTGGATGAAGGTAGTGCAGTTGATGTATATGGATATGTATATGATTTATATGGATTTTCAAAAGGCAACAACAACAAAATGACATTTATAGAGCGCCTTTCACGTCGGGAGGACGTCCCAAGGCTCTGAACAGTCAGGTGTCGGGGCCCGAGCATGAGGGAGGGGGGTTGGTGTAGGGGTGAGGGAAGGCAGAGAGGTGGGAGGGAGACCAAAGGCACGGTCGAAGAGAAAGGTCTTGAGACCGACCTTGAAGGAGGCAAGGGAGGAAGCGAGGCCAAGGGACCATGGGATGGAATTCCAGAGTGTAGGGGCAGAGAGGGTGACAGCCCGGCCACCGATGGTAGGGCAGGTTGGAGCCCTGATATGATATGAGGCATTTGATAAAGTTCCACATAAGAGACTTGTAAGCAAAATTGAAGCTCACGGTATTAAAGGGACAGTGGCAGCAGATACAGAACTGTCTGGGAGACAGAAAGCAGAGAGTGGTGGTGAACGGTTGGTTTTCTGACTGGAGGGAAGTGTACAGTGGTGTCCCCCCGGGGTCGGTATTGGGATCACTGTATTTGTGATCTATATAAATGACCTGGACTTGGGTACAGGGAGGACAATTCCCAAGTTTGTAGATGATACTAAGCTGGAAAAGTAGTGAACAGTGAGGAGGATAGTAACAGACTGCAAATGGACATAGACAGACTGGTAACATGGGCAGACACGTGGCAGATGAAGTTTAATGTGAGGAAATGCGAAATGATACATTTTGTGCGGAAGAATGAGGAGAGGCAATATAAGCTGATGGTACAATCTTAAAGGGGGTGAAGGGACAGAGACCTGGGGGTCATGTAAGCAAATATTTGAAGGTGGCAGCACAGGTAGGTAAAGCAATTAAAAAAGCATACGGGATATTAGGCTTTACTAATAGGGTTATAGAAAACAAAGAGTGGGACCAAATACCACAGCCATGAGGGGTGTCTGCCACATTCGCTTGATAATGGTCAGTGTGCATAAGGGGTCCTCAGGCTCTGGAGACAGTGCAGAGCAATGGAATAAGGCTGATCTCAGTGTTAGTGGGATGAAATATAAGGAACACTATGTATATAAACATAATATATTATAAATATATAAAAATAGAAAGAGATAAGGAATGGGATATAAATATATATAATATATAATATATAGATATATAAGAACATAAAGGCTCTTCAGATCCGATATTATTAATTTATGTTATATCATGAGGGGTTTTGATAGTGTAGATAGGGAGAAACTGGCAAGATGGACTGAATGGCTTCTTTCTGTGCTGTAAAATCTATGATTCTATGATTCTATAAGCGGGACAGTGTCTCGGAGCCTGACTGTACCAAGCTCTCTTACTTGGTGTTGTCGGAATCGATGGTGTGGAAGAGTTTTTCCAGCTCCTCCTCGTTGAGCGTCCCATCGGAGAAGAAGGCTCGGAATTCATCCAGGGATAATTTCCCATCATCTGGAACACAGGAGAAAGTGGGAGGAGTCAGGTTTCCGGGTGTTTCAGCCACAACCACCACAAATTGCATTTCTGTAGCAGTTTCCACGCCGCGGAGGGAGGGAGACACACAGCAGTGACACACTCAACACAGCAGGAGACATTCCAGTGACACGGACAGTGATACCCACCACCCCCCACAGTGCCCCCTCCCACAGGGTGGATCACTGAGTGAGGAGAGAGAGAGAGAGTGAGGTTAAACGGTGCTGACCAAAGGCACAGACACAGAGATGTGGGTTTTACAGAGTTCTGAAGCAGGGAGAGATTCTCATTAATCTTGTCACCTCTGAGTTCATGCGATTTAGTTTTGGACAGTTGGGTGTCTGACACACAGAAATCCATCAACCTGCTTAAGAGTATCCAAACCAGACTGAGAGCTCCCACCTACACATGGACTGTGTCTGGAAATGGAATGAGCAACTCTGCCTCTCTCTCTTTCTGAGTGATTGTCTCTCTGTCCCTCTCTCGCTCTCTCTCTTGCTCTATCTCTGTTTCTCGCTCTCTCTATGTCCCCCACCGCCACTCTCTCTCTCTCGTTCTCTCTTTTTCTCTCTCTATGTCCCTCTCTCTCTCTCTCTCTCACTCTCTTTGCTTCTCTCTCTCTGTTCTCTCTCTTTCTCTCTCTCTCATCTTGCACTCTCTCTGTCCCGCTCTCTGTTTCTCTCTCTGTTCTCTCTTGTGTTCGGTCGTTAACAACTCCAAACTGATTTTGCAGAACGTAACAAGAGGTCAGACAGCAGAGAGACAGTCAGTCCTCGTCTGCAGCCTCCTTCCGCACAATGAATCTTACCACCTCAGCTCTCAATACACTACCCCCAGTGCTCAGAGGTCACTGTTGGCCAGGACACTGGGAGAAACTCCTTTCTCTTTTCCGATAATGTCGCAGAACCTTTAAAATCCACCTGGTCAGGCAGACCTCGGTTTGATGGGAAAACTCGCAGATCAGGCAGCACCTATGGAGAAAGGAAAGTGAGTCAATGTTTTGGGTCCATCACGCTTTGTCAGAACCTGCCCCTTGGCCATGGACCCGAAACGTTGACTCACTTTCCTCTCTCCATAGTTGCTGCCTGACCTGCTGAGTGTTCCCAGCGACGTCTGTTTTTGTTTCAAATTTCCAACATCTGCAGTATTTTGCACTCGGTTTAATGTCTCATCTGAAGGACAGCATCTCTGACAATGCAGTGCTCCCCCAACACTGCACTGGAGTGTCAGCCTAGACTGTGAGTCAAAGTCCTAACATGAGGCTTGAACCCTGAACCATCTGACTCAGAAACAAGAGTGCGAGTGACTGAGTCAGGCTGACAACTCAACAAGCTCCTTCTGTGACGCTCAAAGTCAGGAGGTTTGTATCCAGCAACACTGAGATACAATGAAGGTCTCGGTTACAACGAGATTCACAGGAAGGTGGATAGTTCAGTGCTACCTGTTTTTTTGCAGCGAACATCATTTCCTAACTGGCTTTCTGAAGGATGGCTGAGAGCTCGGGCTGAGTTCCTGGCTTATGGTTGGGGAAATTCAGGTGGTGAATAATTTACTGAACGAGTTGTGAGCAGAGACAAGAGCTGACACCGAAGTGCTTCAGGAGAGGCAGCCCGTCATTAACTGCGTTTGATCATTCACTCAACTCCCGTACTTCTGTAACCCCCCAACCAAGACAGCCCTCAACCCCAGATACCGCCAGACCTCTCCTCAACCCCACAGCTTACCCACATGCATTGACTGCAAACACTATGCTGGACTCATTTCAAAAATAAATCATATGAGAGCAGCTGTGCTGTGTTATGCTGGGCTGTGCTGAGCTGGGCTGTGCTTTGCTGGGCTGGGCCCGGCTGTGCTTTGCTGTGCTGGGCTGTGCTGAGCTGGGCTGTGCTGTGCTGTGCTGGGCTGGGCTTTGCTGTGCTGTGCTGTGCTGGGCTGGGCTGGGCTGTGCTGGGCTGTGCTGTGCTGGCTGGCTTGCTGGCTGGGCTGGGCTGGGCTGTGCTGTGCTGGGGCTGTTGCTGTGCTGGGCTGTGCTGGCTGGCTGCTGTGCTGTGCTGGGCTGGGCTGGGGCTGTGCTGGGCTGGGCTGTGCTGTGCTGGGCTGTGCTGTGCTGTGCTGTGCTGGGCTGGGCTTTGCTGTGCTGTGCTGTGCTGTGCTTTGCTGGGCTGGGCTGTGCTGGGCTGGGCTGTGCTTTGCTGGGCTGTGCTGTGTTTTGCTGAGCTGTGCTGGGCTGTGTTTTGCTGTGCTGTGCTGGGCTGTGGGAATCAATCATATCAATGAGCAAAATGAAGCCACTCTGTTGAGGGGCTGAGAAACAGGGGTTCGGGCGAGTGACACAAGGTTCATGACGTGCAATCAACGAGGCCTGAAGTGTCAGCAATGGAGCAGGGAGCATGAGCAGCCATCAGCGAGCGGGCAGCCTGATGGGCAGGTAACCGAGCGAGGGGTTCATCAAGGAAGGCGCGGCCAGTGGGGTTGGAACCATTCACGCTTCAACAATCAGAGGATGGGAGGTCGTCTCAAAGCGCTTCACGGGATTTACTGTAAAGTGCGGTGTATTTGTAAGTGAATGTGGCAGACAATTTGCACCAGAATGTACCATAAACAGCCATTCGTGCATTCCTCCATACATCGCATTTTGCCGTGTGTTGCTCTAAGCCGGTAATAATACTTATAATAATAATCTTTGCATTTAATGTAGTGTAGTGACTGTGTGTTTTGTGGGCGAAACAAGGCGGTCACTGCAGACAGTGTCTGCTCTAGTCAGGGTGTTTACCGAGGGTTGCCTGTGTGTTTCTCAAATTAATTCGCACAGTTTGTTTATTTCTGAGCTGGCATTACATTATGTGAGAGAATAATGTAACAGCTGACAGTGGGCGTGTGGCCAAGAAAATTTATGCGAAGGGAATTCCTGGCAGCAGAAAATAACTAAGATCAGATAGCCTAGCCTGGAGGAGCCGACATAACACAGAGAAAACCTGAGGTCTCCGAAATGTAGCTACAGGCAACACCCGGGACTCGTTTCAGTATATCTTCTTGTCAGCTTTGCGCAGTCCCAAACACTCTCACAGCTCACATTCAAACCCGACCTTGGGGTCTTTGAGCTCACAGTCTAGACTGGCACTCCAGTATGGTGCTGGGGGTAGCATTGCATTGTTATTGGAGCTATCCTGTGGATAAGATGCTAAATCAAGGTCCCCATCGCCTCTGTTTATCCAGCAGTAAGAAACCCAGTTATTGGTCTATTGGTGGATCGCTTTTCTGGGGGTAATAATCCCTTCAAAAAATATATAAATTTTGTTCACTCAATCCACAACTGTTATGCACAATTAATTGGCTGCCATGTTTCGCCCACAAAATATACAGTCATATTACAGTATATTCACATTACAGTATATTCTGTGAAGCGGTTTGAGATGTCTTCAAGACATGATAAGGCGCTATACCAAATGCAAAGATTATTATTTTATTTTCAGATGGACATTAAAAATCTCATGGCGTTTTGAAAAAGAGAAAGAAATTGACCTGGCTGACAATCCTCCAGATAAAATTGTTCACTCACTTCATGGCTGTTTGTAGGACTTACTGTGTGCAAATTAGCTGTCACATTTGCTCACCAAATACTCACTTTACAGTAACTCCAGTGTAGGGCTTTGAGATGTTTTGATGTTACGGACACTGTATATAAATACAAGTTTCAATCGTTTCTTTCAGTGTTACAGGAGTGTAAATTCTTTCATAACTTTAAAGGGGGGAGATGATCAAATGGATGAAAATTAACTCACTCTCCAAATAATCGGGCAATCACATTACTCGTTACTCTCTGCGTACAGAAATACTTCCTGGTGTCTGTCTTTAATTTAGCCCTCGTGCCCCTAAATAATAATATAATAATAATCCTTGCATTTGATATAGCACCTTATCACGTTGTTGAGACGTCTCAAGGTGCTTCACAGGATATACTATAAAGTGGATTGACTGCATTTTGTTGGTAAATGTCCCCTGTATTCCTGTTGTGTTGGTGTATCTGAGACTACTGTTTTGGCTTTGCTTCATTTGATATAGCGCCTTATCACATTTTTTAGATGTCTCAAAGCGCTTCACAGGATACACTGTAAAGTGTAGTGACTGTGTGTCTTGTGGGCGAAATGCGGCAGCCAATTTGCACACAGCAGCGTTCCACAAACAGTTGTGGTTTGAAGTGACCAACTTATTATTTTTTAAGGAATTACTATCCTTGGAAAAGTGATCTGCCAATTGACTAACAACCGGATTCTTACTTACTGCTGGGTAAATAGAGGCATGTGGAGTAAGGAAACTTGCCCAACGTTTTGCCCTGCCCGGGAATCGAACCCAAGTCTCTCGCTGTCGAGGCGAGTGCTCTAACCACTGAGCTACAGGACTTCACGTCTTAAAGTTAAGTGTCTTAAACACCTCCATAAGATTCTGTCTGAGACGTCTCTTTTCACTTGTTGTTCCTCTTCGCCCATTTATCGAATAATCAGCCTCGTGGCTCTCCTCTGTGCTGCCTCCAGGCTTTGGCAGCCCACCTTATATCTCAGCATCCAGACCAGTCCACAGAACCCCTAACTTGGTATGAACCAGAGGCTGAGCTCCTGAATAGACCTTGTAGAATAAACATCATACAGCTTCTTGGAATGAATAATTCAAATGAAACCCTCTCCCATATATTGAAAGAACCAACATATCGGGAGCTCACGGGAGTGAGTCACTAAAGGCCACTATCGATCCATAAGGTGTCTCAACAAGTAATTGGCTTATAAATAACTTAGCCTGTGTGCGGCTCGGTGAACCTGGGCTAGAGCAAAGCAATGTGTTGCCCTCAAGCCTCAGAGGCTGGCAGAGGTTCCTAGCTTCCAGTGCTGCCTGGTTTTCGCTCACACACTCTAACATTGCCACAGCCACCAATACCACAGCAAGCAAGCAATTCCCAATGCTACGCAGCCTCTCAGAGAAAAGAA